CAGGTGCTGCCGGCCCAGGCCAGCTGCTGGACGCTGGGGGGACAGGATGCACGGGGGGAGGGGGTGTCCGTGAGTCAGAGGCCTCAGGAAACCCGGAGTCCGGGTGTTGGACCCTGGCCCACGCCCATGCTGAGCCTGTTTCCTCGTTTGTAAAAGCGGGAGTGGGACTTGCCGACTGGCTCCCGGCTGCTGCGCTGGTCTGTGGCCTGTGACTGAGGCCACCCGTTCAATTCCTGGGCAGGGCACATGGCCGGGTTGCGGGCTGATCCCCTGGGGAGCGGGCAGGAGGCAGCTGGTCAATGATGCTTATCTCTCTATCCCTCTCCCTTCCTCTCTCTCTAAAAATAAGTCAATTAAAAATATATTAAAACAAGGTGGTAGTAAATATCACCCAATGGACTATGATTATAGTCGTTGTTGCTGGTGGTCGTCACACCAACTAGACCGTAAATCCTTTTAGGAGGAGGGTTTTCTGGTCGCACGTCTGGATGCCCCCGAGGTCCGCCCTCCCATGGCAGGGGCTGCCCCCTGCAGAGGTCCGACCGCTGTCCGACCTCCCCCAGGTTTTCAGGATGATCGAGGAGCGCCCCACGCATGCCATCACGGTGCGTGTCTCCTACCTGGAGATCTACAACGAGAGCCTGTTCGACCTCCTGTCCACGCTGCCCTACGTGGGGCCCTCGGCCACGCCCGTGGCCATCGTGGAAAACCCGCACGGGGTCTTCATTAAGGGCCTGTCGGTCCACCTCACGAGTCAGGAGGAGGACGCCTTCAGCCTCCTCTTTGAGGTGAGAGATTTCTTTCTTCCTCCCTCCTTCCCTTCCTTTCTTTCTCTTATTTTTTCCCTCACACCCTTCTTAGTTTTTTACTTTGATAATCAGGATGAAAATTAAAAGATACTCATTTTAGCAATTTCAGCTCGTACTAAAACATAGGAATAGCTCTGGCCGCATGGCTCGATGGTTAGAGTGTTGGCCCCGCGCACTGAAGGGTCACGGGTTTGATTCCTGGTCAAGGGCACCTACCTGGGTTGTGGGTTCAATTAAAAAGGT